TTTCTTTCTAAATGCAATTCCACTTGAGTAACTCACGTTCCTGGGAATCGAGACGCTAATGGCAGATTACGGGAGATGTTTGTCCTTGATTCCACTACCGTTATTATCTCAAATTATGACAATCAACCGCGAACAGTCTCAAGCGTTACTCCGCAACTTCTATGAATATGCAATGAGTCGGATACACGTCGGCAAGAATATCATCACAATACAAAAATAACTTTTCGTTTTTTCTCTCTTTCTTCCCAGCATTTTCGCCTTTAAAGCTTCGACATAGATAATAAAAACAAAAATTGCAAGCAAACGTTACCAAGTTGTACACATAAAAAATCCTAGAATTGTTAAAACAATTCTTCTATTCCTCGGAAACTTAAAAGATAACGCTATCTCTTTAAGCGAAACGAAAGAAGAGATGATTACCACTAAATACACACTTTACTCACACATTATAATTCACACTTTGCCTCTCCTTTCCTTCGACGATATCTTCGTAAAAGATTATATTTGGCATAAGCGACATCGAATCCATCCATTCTCAACGAAAGAAAATTACACTTCTCGGGCACGATTCTAAAATCAAACCATCTTCTACTTTCGCGAAATTCTCTTTTTCATCAGATCGACCGTTTTTTTTTTCTCTCGTCGTCAATCGTATTCGATCCCGGTACAGTTATTCACAGTAAAACTCATTTCCATCGACGGATCTTCAGGGTGTTGAAAAAAAAAAAAAAACACCGTCGCGCGTTAGACGCCATTTCGAGAGACCTCTTATTAGACGAAGACGCTTGATTTATACTCCTACACAGCTAGAACTCCGTTAGTTAGTCGGTTAGTTTAGTTTATACTGTTTTACTTTATTTTATTTTTTTGCTTTTGTTCTTTTGTTTTACTTAATATCCTTAAAACGGTACTTGCAACGTATAATCATGTCGTTAACATGTTGCACAGAAATACAGACACGGACACAGAGACGCGTTTAAATATATGTTCCTCCACGGATGCACAGCGATTAAGATATACACAGCTCGAATTGTACAGTGTCCTATAGCCTCTTAAATACTTAAAAACTCTGTCCGACGATAATATACACGTGTATATAGCCTCCGATTATGAATCTCCCCTTTCCCCTTTATATCCTTTTTTCTCATTTTTTCTCTCTCTCTCTCTCTCTTCTTGTTCCTCCTCTTTACACATTCGTCGAAACAGCGTCGCTTCGACGACATGTTCTACCCTTTTTTCTTTTTTTTTACACCGTGTCACGCGCTCTTCACAGACGTATTCTAGGTGGAAGAAGTACAGCACGGTCGTATATAAAACCTCTTTTCAGCGACG